TGCCACGGGGGGGTGGGGGGCAAGGGGAGCTCCAGCCATCACTCCGACCTGCCTTGGCTCCTGCGCGGGGGCCTGGCGTGCCCAGGCCGTTACTGATGACCCCTCTGGGGTTCTTTGGGATGTGTGAACCTCCTGCTTCAGGGCTCCAGTCTGTCTGTGTTGGGGACCAGGTTCTAGTGCGTGCCCCCACAGCGGGATTTCTCCCCCGCCTGTGGCTGGGAACGGCTGGAGGGGACCAGACTGAGCACCGCTCTGTTTGTGTTCACGTTTCACGGGCCAAGCCCGAAGCAGGTGGTCCCTGGCTGGCCCTGTGAGCAGCACATGGATGTGCAGCAAGGGGTAGAGGTGGCATTTCTAGCCCCTGCCGGGAGGGGGAGGGAGCATCGCTAGCCCCTGCTTGGGAGGGTGATCAGCTTTTAAAGCGTAGAAAGGCCTCGTGGCTCGCCGGCTGCAGCGGCTCATCGCTCGTATAGCAATCAAATCGCCATTGGGCAGAGGCCAGACACAGACAGTTCAGCTCAAAGAGCTGCTGCGGCCGGAATTTGATCTGATGAAGTATCTGGTTGCAGCGGAAATAATTATGTCATTATAATTCTGGTGGCCACTGTGAGCAGCTGCTGGAATTTCTCGTCAGCAGGACCAGCTCTGGCCCTTTGCACACACGGGGGAGCCTGCGTGCCCGCATAGGCCGGTGATACCTCCTAGCAGCAAGCAACACCAGGCACAGGGCAGGACAGATCTCTCCTACGCCTGGAGCTGTGCGCGGAGGGACTGGTCTGAGCTGCCTTTGGGGCTAGTGCCAGAGGAGGCTGAGAAGGCTAGGACTAGAACAGAGTTTTAAAAAGAGCTAGATAATTTCCTGGAGGTTAGGTCCATAAAAGGCTATTAGCCAGGGGATAAAATGGTGTCCCTGGTCTCTGTCTGTCAGAGGCTGGAGAGGGATGGCAGGAGACAAATCGCTTGATCATTGTCTTCGGTCCACCCTCTCTGGGGCACCTGGTGCTGGCCACTGTCGGCAGACAGGATACTGGGCTAGATGGACCTTTGGTCTGACCCAGTACGGCCGCTCTGATGTTCTTATGAGCTCCGGGTCTCAAGCTGGTGTTACTATGCTGGGATATGGTTTGGAAAGGCACATCCCTGAGAGCCTCACTGGCCTGGCTTGTCCTGCTGTAGCTAAGCCTGTCTCCGAATCCAGCGTAGTCCCTGGCTTTGACTCTCACTCCTCAGTGAGTGTTTGCCTGGGGCTGCGACTTGGCAGGTAAGAAAGAGCTCGTGTTCCCACACGCTGCAGATTAGTTGGGCCAGTTCGTGAATTGTGCTGGGGAAAAATCTTTCTTGAAACTTTGTTGGAGGCAGAGTTTCCCCTCTGAACCCAGTGGGGCGCCGCTGGCTTGAGTTTGTGGGAAAACACATTTGTACGGCCGCAGTGTTGGCATTTGAAAACTGCCCTGCAGTGTTGAATTTCAGGTGGCTAGTGACGGTTCTGGTGTCTCCAAAAGAAAATGAAACGTGAATTTGCTAATAAGACTAGCGGCCCTGGCCGAAGAGAGGCCATGCCAGGCTCAGGCGTGCCCTGCTCCACGCGTCACGATGCCAGAAATGCCACCAAGGCCATAGAGGTGTGTTCAGAGTCCCCTCGCCCTGCTGGGTTCTGCCCTAGGACAGCGATCTCCTGGGGCAGGGATTGCAGCAGCGCTGAGAGGCTGTGGGCTTACGGATGAACAGCCCTGGGGACGGGCGTGTTCTGATTCGGGCCCAATATAAGGCAACGCGACATTTCCAGACCTGCGCCAGACACCGAGGGGCCTTTTCCTGTCCCCGGTGCCTGCTGGGAATCTCACGGCCCTGCACGTGATCGGGCGCCGGAGGCTGGTGTGGGGCCAGGTGCCGTGCGAGACGGGCTGAGGGTCTGGCCCGGCACTGTGGAGACGAGCACAGTGTAAATGCCAAGAGGAAAGTTGCGTCCTGCTAGTGGATCCACCTAAGTCGCCCGATGGTGGGTGCGGATGGCAGTGGGGATGCTCAGACGAAGCAGCGGCTCTGCAATTTCATGTGCAGCAGGCTGCTCGGCTCCCTTTTAAATTGCAGAGCTGCAGTGGGTTTGGTCCTGGGCCCTGCGTGAGCCAGGCTGCCTGCCCAGCTGGGGCAGCCTGTGCCCGCTGTGAGCCTGGGCCTGCCATAGGTGGAGGGTGCTTCATGGTAACCTTCCCTGAGGGGGCGGGGAGGTGGCAGGGCAGAGCCCCCCCGCCCCTAATTCAGAGGCAGCAAGGGGGGTGCGAATGAACCGACAGGCCCAGGTGTCTCGGTTAGTCGACTGGTCACTTCTCGTTGCGACAGTCGGGCTGGCCCAGGGGGAGGCTCCAGGCTGCCAAGCGGCGTGGGAGCGCTGGCCAGACAGCTCACCGGGCAGAGCCCTGCCTTGGGGTGATGAGGGGCAGGCCCCGTTCTGCTTGCCTGGGGACTCCCAGGTTCAAAACCAGCGATTGCACAGGCCCAGGTGTCTCGGTTAGTCGACTGGTCACTTCTCGTTGCGACAGTCGGGCTGGCCCAGGGGGAGGCTCCAGGCTGCCAAGCGGCGTGGGAGCGCTGGCCAGACAGCTCACCGGGCAGAGCCCTGCCTTGGGGTGATGAGGGGCAGGCCCCGTTCTGCTTGCCTGGGGACTCCCAGGTTCAAAACCAGCGATTGCTGGCTTGTCCTGGGCTCGTGTCTCCCCCCACAGACATGCAAAGAAGCACAAGTTAGCCTGGGCAGCCACGCATGTCAATGGGGGTGGTACCGTAGAAGAGGGCGGGTGCCCATCTGTGTGCTGGACCAGTTGGCTCCCTGAGCTAGTGGGTCAGCTGACAGGCCTTGGTGCAGCCTGGGATGCCTTGAACTTCCAGCCCGCCTGCCCTTTGGGTTTGCCCGAGCTCTGCGGCAGGGCCTGCCGGTCCCAGGCTCCCGAGACTCTGCCGCCCCGCCCGGCCGGGCTAATGGAGCCGCATTCTCTTCCAGGGCTCGGAGCAGAGAATGTTTGCGAGAGCCATGTCCAGCTTTGGCAAGAAGCTGCTCCGCCGGCGCTGGCTGGGGAGGGAGCCAAGGAGAAGGCCGGCCCCTCCATTGTCATCTGTTTCCTGGTTGCTGCCCTCTCGTCTGTGCTGGCTGGGCTTTGCTACGCGGAGTTCGGGGCCCGGGTTCCCAAAACCGGCTCTGCCTATCTCTACAGCTACGTCACCGTGGGAGAGATGTGGGCCTTCACCACGGGCTGGAACCTGATCCTGTCCTACGTGATCGGTACGTGGGCTGAGCCACGCTGCCTGGCGCGAGGAGGGACTCGGAGTGGGCGGGTGCCGGCTGCCCTGTGACCTCCCTGCGTGTGCTGATGGCAGCGAGGCCTGGGCAGGCTCTCCGGGGCTTATCGGACATCTGGAGCCCTGGGATCGCCCGCCAGGCCTCCCAAGTTCTGGCCTTCAGGCCGGCAATGCCATGGTGACGCTGCTTGGGGGCTCTGAGAGGCAGGTGCCCCCAGCTCGCTGTGCGGGGCGCTCCCCAGCTCTGCCCTGCACTGGGGCAAGGGGGGCAGAGGCTTCTGGGTAACATGCCGCTCTGCTGCTGGTTCCTAGGGACCGCGAGCGTCGCCCGGGGCTGGAGCTCCTCCTTTGACAACATCATTGGCAACCACATCTCTGTCTTTTTCCAAAACACCACCTCCATGTACGTGCCGGGGGTGCTCGCGGAGTACCCCGACTTCTTCGCGCTGCTCCTGGTCCTGCTGCTCACAGGTGAGAGGTGCAGCAGCTCTGGGCAGGCAAGTCTGGGGGAGGGGGGTGGCTGGCGCTGGCCCCAGGGAGTGCTGGGGGGCATT